GCAGTGTCGCCTTTGCTATCTCATACACATCCCGCTCTGAGTGCCACCTGCGCAGCCAATCTTCTACACAGTGCCGAGGGCAGTGTCGCCTTTGCCATCCCATACACATCCCGCTCTGAGTGCCACCTGCACTGCCAATCTTCTACACAGTGCTGAGGGCAGTGTCACCTTTGCCATCCCATACACATCCGGCTACGCAGGCTATTCACAGACAACACATTCACTGTAAAAGCAACGTGGGTGTCATTGTTTTAGGAATTGGGTGTGACGTTGGGTACGATAGTCAAGACGAGAAGTCCATTGATGAGGAAAAGGACAAGGAATCGTCTCTAGGCAGTGGTGGAAGTCAGTCACCAGCACGTTCAAGACCTTCATCTGCTGTTCCCCAAGGTGATGGGGATGTTGCAGTACAGCAACCAGATGAGCCATGGAACACCACGGGAAGTCTTCCATTTGATATAGGAATAAATGAGGTAATTATTCAAGTAACTATTAATGAGGAAGACTGGTTGAATATGAGGGTAAAGGGATTCATTCAAAATATCACTTAGTCCTTTATATAGGTTTGACCACAGCCCAACTTACCTCGCTGTTGGRGGAGGATCAGTTCGTCTAAGCCTGTCTCTCAAGATTTGCAAAGTATTTAACTTAGAAAGATCTCCATCGAGAAACTGAAAAATCGCGAATAATTACAATTAGTAAAAATATGCAGTTGATTATAGAAAATATCGCGCGCTGATTGGTTAAGAAACTCACACTATCACATGATAATCACCTCGAGCAAAAATCAAAAATGGCGGCCAGCCGCTTAGTTGTTGTTACCGGAAAAAAATGCCTTTTATCTTCTTTTTTTTCTTTTCTTTTTTTGAAAGAATCACCTGTGTATTTATACTAAAACAATTATTTGCCTCAGGCTCAGTGATTATTGGGGAATATTTACCTCGCCGCTCGAAGACTCGCGTCTCGGTAATTAATCTCCGATAATCACTTCGCCTTCGGCGAATAAATAATGGGATTAACAGTGGATTCCACAGAGTGGCTCTTCTTCCACTGGATTCCAATTGGAATTTAGAAGTGGATTTTTAATTTGTGACAACATACCACTAATTTAAATGTTAGTAATACTCCTTGTAAAAGTACGATTTTGTACCATAAATACTACATCAACTCTGAATTGTTCTTGAGGAATGTTTAAAGAACCCTTATTTAAATCTTACTACTATGTAGTCACTCACATCTTTCTTTCCCTTGAACGCTATTCTCTTATTACATACTTCTTTATTTCCATAGGTTTTTGACATATTGCCTCTCTATAGCACTCTTCACTCAGAGGAAACCCAGAAACTTCAGTTCACATTTTACGGGCATGCCAACATCCGTTCTAACGCCGTTGCTAGATGTTCCGTGTATGGTGGACCTGAATATGACGTGGTACTCAAAGGAAGCGCTTCTCTAGTGCAGTATTTCTTTGACAAGAAAGTTGTCGATTATGGAAAGCAGGTAAATTCTGCCTCCGAGGGAAAATCTTGACGTATCTTTTGTTAGAGACCTTTAGCACGACGTTCTTGCAAGGTACCGCAAACCCTAAACTGCAGTTCGACGTCAGGCGCTTTTTATCACACTTTGGACATTTAGCAAGGCGTCATAGCGAAGACGTTGCTGAAACAGCCGCCATATTGAATTTCATTGATGCTGTGTGTTTCTCCGTGTTTGCGAGCGTGTTCTGGGCCTGATCCCTAGGGGTAAACCTGATGCTAAAGGGCGCTATTCGGCGCTCATTTCATTACATTCTTTCATTATATTCTTTTACACGTGTTTTAGCTGTATGATCAAGTAGCTATTGCTGAGATCATCTTACACAACACTGGTAATGTTGGTCTGGATTACGTAGTACTGAACGTTGACTCAGGGAACAAGGTCCTTCCTGGGGCCCCTAATGTCACGCCAGCCCAGGGTCATATCAAAGCCCTCAGTAAACAGACTCTGACTGTTAAATATCTGCCTGGAGTACCCAAAAGCTTTGACAAGATGTTCCAGGTAAGTCTCATGTTTACCTCCAAGTACCATTCCTGAGATTCCTGGAAAAACTCTGGAATCTAGAAACTTCCTTCCAGGTTTCCAAGTTCCAGGGACACAGAAAATCTGGCAAGGTGTTCCGTGTAAGTTTGATGTTCACCTCTAAGTATCATTCTGGGATTTGTACTTCTCCTAAGATTCCTAGAAAACTCCTGCACTGTAGAAACATCCTTCCAGGGTTCTGTATAACGCCTGGAAAATATTTTTTGCCTACTTTTGGAAAAATCCAAGGGGCGGGTCCACGGGAAAGGAGGGGGAGGGGTGTAGAAGGGAATAGGATGACTAGTCACCTCCCTTTGAAAAAATTGAAAAATAAGAATAAAGGATGAGGTAAAACCTAAAAAGGTTGCTATTGTGATACCTTTCTAGTTAACAGCCACCCCCTTGCAATCTTTCTAAATCCGCCACTGAAATCCTAGAGTCTCATCATCTCTCTGTAGTAGTACTATAACCTGAACAACCTTTTGCGATTCCATCTTTTAACAGGTTCGTGTAGCGCATTTTGAACCCGACAAGATCTCCCTTACAGGAGAAGGGGTGTTCCCTCGTATATTGTTCGACCTGCCTTTGGACAAAGAGGACGAACGATTGCATGAGCTAGTAGAGAAGGCTAAAGAAAACATCAAGAATGAAAAAGAACTGCCTTCTACTGACAAGACCAAGGAAGAGATGCCTATGAGAGCTATAGCCAATGTAAGCAGACAATGTTGTGCTATTGACTCCTAAAATTGCCCGGATAATATAGAACCACATTGTGGATTCATGCATATGCTTGGGGGGAGGAGGCTGGAGGAGGCTGGTGCAAGCAGCCTTAAAGTGGTTTGAGGCGTAGCCAAGAAAGAATGTACAAAAGGCTCTTCTGTTTATATATTGCAGCTGGTTTTGCGTGCACCCTTATATACACTTTTCCCCTACTTGGACCCTGAATTAATATTCAGAATATCATGTATACAAATATATAATAACAAATTCTTTTGTATTGCTGCAGGCTGTTGGTGATTTAGAGGTTCAAATGGAGATCGAAAGGCTAATCATCCAGCAACACGCTTTAGATCAGCAAAACATCTCGAGGGTTTCTTCCCTCGTCCAAACAGACAGTTCATCTAAACCAACCCCTAAGAACAAGAAACAAAGAGCTCAGTTGATTAGCTACCTCCTAGACTTTGGCTACGTGGTCTTGGGTACCGTCCGCTCACATATCATCCGCGTCACCAATAATGGATTCTTCCCTGTCTCTTTTGCTCCAGACAGGGGGAGCTTATCTGGCAGCGGTTTCGTTGTTGAACTGGATAGGATAAGGAACCTACCCGGAAGTCCCGACAATGAAAGTATCGAGTTTATGGTCACTTTTGATCCCAAGGGTGCAGATATGTCTCTAGGACCTGTAGATGTCTCTGTGCCTATTATGACATTAGGTGGTCCATTATACGGGCTGAGACTTAAGGCCTTTGTTACTATGCCTGATATGAAGATCTCTACAGATACACTTGACTTTGGGTCTGTGGTGTGTGGACAGTGCAAGGTGATGACCATCCAGCTGCATAATTACCAGCCTGTAAGATGCGACTGGTCATCAGAACCCACTGAAGACAAAAAGAAGAGGTCTGACAAGATGGTTCCTCTTCATCTGAGGAAGAAACTTCGCGCAGAGAAACCCAAGCCAAAGCAGTTCGAGGTGATGCCTCCGGTAGGAAGCTTACAGCCTGGCCAAAGAATCAACGTCCAAGTGAAGTTCATGCCAATAGAAGAGATCTCTTACAGTCAACGAGTAGTCATACGCATAGCACAGAGTACCAACCGTCTAGTTGTTAATGCATCAGGACAAGGAAGAGAACCTAAAGTGGATTTCAGTTCTTCGCTCGTAGCTTTTGACCCTGTTCTTCCTCATTCAAACGGGGACGAAAAAGAAGTGGTGCTAAAGAATCCTTGTGATTTCCCCATCGAAATCTACTCACTGGAGTTTGACAAGCAGTATTTAGAGGAGGAGAAGATGWTAAGGAATATGAAGGGGTATGATGAGTATAATACCATCCTGCTTCCTCCTCGACAGCCAGGAGAAAAGCTACCAAAAGAGGTCATTGATTCTTATGAGGAACAGCAGCGCAAGAAAGAGGAAGAGGAAAAAGCACAGGCCGAAGCTGCAGCGAAACAACAAGCCGAGGGTGAAGGCGAAGAAGGGGACATAGTTGCACCGAACATAACTACCGTACCCGCCACACCAGGAATCAATGACCAAGAGGGAAGCGAAGAAGAGGTTGCCAGTAGCTTGGGTGTGGGCGAACTGGAGATCACACCTGTATCTGCTGCCATTGCCCGTTATCTTGGAATTGATCTAACAGCTGAAGGTAAAGCAGCACGTAATCGTCGCGGTATTGCTTTAATCGTCCATGGAGCACCGTTCTCTGGAAAGACAGCAACATCCGTGGTCTTGGCTAAGAAGTACGAAGCTGCCTTGCTTACCGTCGATGGTGTTGTACTTGAAGCCATTACAACTAGTTCGTCTTCTGCTGCTCGCCGGGCTAAAGATCTTTGTGCTGCCGCAGCTCGTGCTGCTAAAGAAGCAGAACAAGCAGCAGAAGCCAGCCAAACCCACCACCAACCAGGTACCCTTAGTGTCGAGGCAGTAGCACAGCTTACTGCTCAGGCAGGACAACCTCACAGCACACTAGGGTCTACGACTGGAGCTCCTTCACTCATGGCACGCGAAGGCCGTAAGACATCTACCGTTGGTGGGCCTAAAGGGTTTGTTAATAAAAACCAACCTCAGGTACAGCAGAGTACACCCCCTGCAACCCCGCCCAATGCTGCACCCATCGGTCGTAAACTGAGTGTTAGTGCCAGTGTGGGAGGAGAAGATGGTCTGTACAGCTGTGTTTTACCAGAAGACCTGCTTGTAGAACTATTGGCTGAAAGAATGCTGGTAAGGCATTTGTGAAGGCATCTGTGAACGACATCTGTGAACGACATCTGTGAACGACATCTGTGACCGTTACTTAACTTAAATCAATTTGGGGTTTGTCAGATTTTCATAATAGGGACTTAAAGATTTGCAAAATGTACGACGGCGACGTCAATCGGAAAAAGTGGAAATAACTTAACTTTAGGGTCCGGGCGTCTTCAAAGTCTGTCTTTCCTATGGATGAGTTGACTTTACTGAAAATGTTTTGGATAAAATCTCCAATGAACAGAACCCTAAAATGAAGTTATTTACACTTCCGGTTGACGTCGCCGTCGTACATTTTGCAAATCTTAAAGTCCCTAATAACGCGGCCTAGATTGCCACCCAAAATCTTTGACGTCTAAAAACGTTGCGTGACAGACACCAAGTACGACTGCGTAAGAGGCTAGATTTTTGGTTTCTGTCAGTTAAAATTAGAACTATCATAAGACCTGGGTAATATAGGCAACAAAATTGCCCAACATTGTTGCAAGTTACAAGCTGCTAGTATAAAAACGAATAAAATCCACATTCCCACTTGCACAAGGTAGAGCAGTTTTGGTATGACATTGAAAAGTTCGCGGTACGAACGCGTTCGTGTCACAGAAAGGCATACGCCAGACCAATCACACTGAGAGAGTTTTGCTCTCCATCTAATCAAATACCCGATTCACGGCGCGGACAGGGTCGCGCCAAATCATAGCACTTTCTAAGTACTTCAGACCAATCATATTGCGCGAAAAATTAAAAAAACAAGCTAATCAATATTCTAAAAAAGTATCACCGTCGCAGCAAGGTACGATTTTCACGGCCATACGAAAACTGCTCTATACAAGCTCGGTCCACCATTTTCAGAAACTTAAAGAAATTTTGTTGCGCGTTTAGTGGCAATACGAAAACTTGCTACGCAACAAGGACGTTTGAAATTTTTGCTTTCTGTCGCCTTTTTTATGCTGGTCGTAGTTATGAACTAATAACATATTGTGTACTTTTGTGATATTGATATTCCTGTTCTTGTTGATGTTAATCAACAGCTAAGTGATTGTCAACGCGGCATCGTGATCGATGGTCTTGACTCATTATTCAGTCCAAGTCTGTGTGCAACAGCCACTGCTGTGCTTCGTGCACTTAACAATCGCAAGTACATCTATTTTGTAACACTAATGCTGGATCATGCTCGATTGAAGGCCGTGGAGGAGAAGAGGAAAGAGGAAGAAGGTAAGTCTTTTTACTTCTTTGGTCACAAAACATAAAACATATCTAAAGAGAACCATTTAGGGCTTTTCTGTTACCTCTATTCATATATATATATATTTAAGGCTTTCAGATGTTCTTGGTAAAAATGGAAACCTGTTTTTCAAGGAGAGGGCCGCGGTCAACCCTCCTTGTCTCTTCGTTTTCGTACGGTTCTCTAGCCTTTACATCGCCCTAACATATAACAAGAAGAACTTGCATACAGCTAAGGCTGATTATATGATTGATTGTGCAAATGCGTCTTCTCTATTTCTACAGCCAGGAAACAGAAAATAAAAGAGGAAGAAGAAAAGCGTCGTCTGGAGGAAATGTCTGAAGATGAGTACGATGCTCTGACGGAAGAGGAAAAAGCAGAGGTGGACAGGAAACACCTTGAACAGAAGAAAGAAAGGCTGAAGAGAGAAATGGAACGACAGGAAAAGGAAAAGAAAGAACGAGAACTACAGGTTTTAATGGAAGAGAAAAGACTAGAGGAAGAAAAGTAAGCTATTTTGTTCTCCCCCAGATGTTTGCAAGAGTTCATGTTTCTTCGTCCTTTGAGGCCAGTGTAGTGCACGAAGGAGCATTTAGTCTGGTGTTTCTGCGGCAAATACTTTCTTGTCTGCCAGATATTTCCACGATAGAAGTGCCCGTCATGTGGCTTTCGTTTATCACTAGGACGCATATAATATATGCGGGCACTTCTATCATGGAAATATCTGGTACACAAGAAGGGCTTTGCCGCAGAAACACGAGACTAAAGCTCCTTCGTACACTACACTGGCCTCAAACACACGCAACATGCCCCTTCATGTTCACTAGCAGCTTACAAGAAGAAAATACGCAGCATATCAATTATGTAACGTTACTGAGCCCCCATCTGGTTTGAGAAGATGACATGATAATTGTACTCTAACTCGTTTTTTAAATTCGTAAAATGTCCTTTACGCAATATCAATAATAGTCGGGAATTTTGTAGTCTTATCCAGATCGCTTCTTTTCTCAGCTATTTATCATCACAGTTGCATTTTAAGTATGTAAAATGGCGTTACATAAATTAGCTCGCAGTCGCCGTTGTTCACTTCTGTTATTCCTAACGTATGAATTTACTACAACCTCCATCCCTGAAAAATAAGAGGAATTCCACGCCACGTTTTTAGACCACACATATCGACACTACAGGCATACTGGAATCTCGTTGTAAACTAAAATCCTAGTAAAACAACATTAAAACTGAATTTCAGGGGGAAACTTATTCACTGTCATTTTATTCCTAAAGAAATACCAAGCGCAAACGAGCTGGGCAGCAAGGAGGTACCGGAGCTGCAAAGAAAGGCCACGATACTAAAGACAAGAAAGGTGAAAAAAGCAACGATAAGTTGACATCAGGACGCGTTACAGCAGCAGCATCACAGCCGCAGAATACCGAGACACGTGGAGGTGCACCATCTGTCGTGTCTGAGAGATCTGATAGCAGTGAAGTTATCGATGATAAAAAGAGAATGAGTATTGCTAAGCCCGGTAAGCATCCGCGTCAACCCTCTGCTGCTATACCTCCACACTTGATGGACGAGCCGAAGGTACCAACTGAAGAAGATGAAAGAGAAAAGGAACTAACAAAAAAGTGAGTCATTCTTACACTTTACTGAGGAAACGCAAACACTTCAAGTGTTTTTCCAGGTTATTTCCTGAACTTTTTACTGTTTCAAACTCTCTAAGATGAAGCGATTAAATCAAGAAATGATTTGTAGTATGCATTTCAAAAGTGACAAAAAAACTCGTCGGGTGGTTAGATTGTCCTCACTGTTAAGCTCAAGTGTCGAAATTAGAAGAAAAATAGTTAGCTTATTTTTGGTCTAACTAGATATAAACGGTCCCTTGACTTGATATAAATACTCTGGTAACTGTAGAGCTTTTAAAAAGGTTGACGTCCGACTATGTCTTTTACATTTGTTCCCACACTGGCTTCTAGCCAGGCTCTACAGATACAACCGTGTTTATATTACAGCATAAAGACGAGCGCGCGTAGGTCTTATTTTTCTTACTTTTATAGAGGTTATGTAATGACGCTCGGAAATACGCATTTTTAATTTGGATTTCACGAAATATGTTAGGCGTGAATATATCATTGTTTTGGACAGACAAACAAGAAGTTGTTTCATGGTTGCTTACATATTCTTCTAAATCTATTCAAGGTTCAACCTATTTGAGTCAAGTCTACGTGAGATTGATAATGTTCTTCAATACTGGGACCGTGGTACTGGTACAATCAACAGACCTGATACACCCAAGTCTGAGGTCCAGGATCCAGAACCACCACCACCACCGACTGGGTTTAACAAGAAAGGACGAGCTGACAAAAAGGAAAAAGAAAAGGAAAGAGAACGAGAAAGAGAAAAGGAAAAAGCCAAAGAGGTGCATACATTTGAGCCATTTTTTTGCCTTTCTTTAAATATATTGTCATCTGTGACAAATCATTCTCTCTTTTAGATTAAAAGGGGATATCTTTGCTACAAGGTCAACGGGAACATACCTAAGGGACTTCCCTTTCACGATTAACTCAACTAAATATAAATATGCGAGACCAACTAAAATGCGTATCATAACAGGTGCTTTTAGTGTGCGACTACACCAATCAAAGTCACCCAGAAACATGTTCATACAAACTAGCTAATCAGTATAGAATATTAAAACAATAATATTATACAAAGTTCCACATTTTCCCCTGTACGTGTGTTTAATATCAGGAGTGAACAAGAAACAGTTTAAACTCAAGAATTCGTCACCATCTTGTTATAGTCAGCGTCAAAAACGGGATTTATGAATTTGATTTAAAATTCGTTTGGGTGGCCTTGGTTAAGTAGTTGTACTGTAAAAACAGTCGTACGTTTTCTCACTGGACTCTGAAGACTGTCTAAATGTCAGTCACCACCAACCACAGTCTTTCTCAAGACTACGCTCACCCGGACGATCACTTCACAACAAAGTCATACGTTTGGTTTAAGAAGGCGCGAAGATTCAGATTTTGTTTTCAAACAATTTCCTAACGTGCGCTAGAATAATCTGAATTTAAAAGTCGACTAAATTTTAATTTTTGACTATTCACAGTTTAAATATCTTTATCCATTATGTTTATAATTTACCATGAGTAAGACTTTAAATGAAAAGTTCTAAAGATATCACCCTAAACTAACTTAACTAAACCAACTATATCTGCCATTTTTTAAAGGCATCTGAGTCGCCATTATCAGGTGGAAGCGGTGAACACGATGATGAAGAAGATAAAAATAAAGATGGTACAGGGGTACCTAATATAATGTTAGAAGTCCTGAAGCCACACGAACAATCTGATGACAAGGCCGTGGAAAAAGGAATACTTCCTACCTATGAAGAGGTACGCACATACCAAATATTGTCCAAGTACTCAATATTAGACTCAATCAAAACCGTATACGGGTACGAAATCTATCCCCACCTCACCTCACCTCTCCTCATGGCCCAAAAACAACATTCATTTAATTTAATTTTTTTTTCTTTTTCTTTCTTTCTTTTATTATTATTATTTTTTTTTTTAATTTTATTTTTTTTATTTATTTATTTATTTATTTCATTTTATTTTATTTTATTTTATTTTTTATTTATTTATTTTATTTTTTATTTTTTACAAGTTCAAACGAATATGTCAATTTACGCTGCTTATGCTTTTTGGTGTGTCTTTGAAACACAAGATGGTTGAAACTTGTGCTTATAAATTTATGGCATGACTTGTTATTCTTAAATTCAATGATGCTTCAGGTTCTTTAGACGTGGGCCTCTGGCTCGGGAAACCGAGAGCAATCGGCCTGTGTGCTCGACCATTTTTATTTTTTAAAGGGGCACTTGGATGAAAAATCCCCAATTATTGAAAGTCCAAATAAATGAAGTATTCGAGGATAATATGACTCAATTATGACTATGTAGTTTTATTAGTGATTTTAGCATGGGAGCCACTTGCAAATGAGAAATTTTGGCTCAAAAGCGAAAAGAACAATAGGGTTGAGTAAATGATGTCATTTACTCACAATTTAGATGCTGAATAAAATTGCTCATGTTTATCGGGCACTTTTTGCTGTGAAGAAAATATGTTGCATGGCTACTATTGGGGCCATATAGATAAGTTTAACCAAGTTTCAAGGCATTTCCAATTTTCATCGATTTTCATCCAAGTGCCCCTTTAAGTTTTGTCGTGTAATAGTGTACTTCTAACTTTAAAATTGTGTAAACATTACTATGATATTGTTAATTGTGATTATGTTTGATATAAAGGTTCTAGATGGTCTTGGTCTTGGTCCACATGGTCCACCCATCCCACCCCCAGCATCATTCGCTGTCGTTCCATATCCAGTACGTCGTCGGCCTCCTTTAGGGTCAGACCCATCGTCACATTATGTCTTCGTGGCTTCCAGTCCAGATGACCCTAATGCCATTCAAGAAGACAAGTCAAAGGAAACAGAAGCGGATATAGAGAAGACTTCTGATAGAGGACAGGTAAAAATAGAAAACTGCGTAAAGCAAATCCCATCCCATTCCATCTATCCATACAAACACTTCATCCTGTCCCATCACTCCTCATCCCATCCCGTACATCCAATTATCAATATACCCATGCCATCCTGTCCCATCACTCGCCATCCCTTCCCGTACATCCATCTATTTATCCATACATACAGGGGCGGATACAGAATTTTAAAAAGGAGGGTGGATAATTTTTAAAAAGTTCTTTTGAGCCTTCTTTTTACAGTGCAAAGGATTAAATTATAACATACTTGTGAATGCAGCTAAACTTTGACTCTTGATATGTTTTGTAATTAGATGCAATCATATTCTTCTATTTTCCTAAAAATATTCACTTTTTCTTTAAATAGGGGGCGTGGAAATCCGCCCAATCCACCCCCTGTATCCGCCCCTGACATACATTCACCCCATTCCATCACTTGCCATCCCCCATTCTATCCCATCACTTGCCATCCACCACATTCTATCCCATCACCATGCATGCATCCATCCATCCATCCACCCATCCATCCATCCATAAACTCACCCAGCCATTCAACTATCCCATGCCATTCTATTCAGGCCATCCAGTCATATTTCAGCTGACTTCCACTTTTCCTTTTTTTCCCTGCTACTCAGGATCATAGCCGTAAGGGAGCTCGAAGCAATCGGGACAAAGAGGAACGAGAAAGCGGTGGATCTAAGACACGTCGCGAGAGGCAGAATTCTGCTCGGAAAAGCAAGCTTGGTAGTCATGGAACCGCATCACCACCACCAAGCGTTACTCCTGCCACTGAAGAAGAAAAAGGGTAAGAAATTACTACAGAAGTTCAGTCTGATCAGATACAAGTTATTAGGTCTCTTTCTTGATTCGAGGGTTTTTCTTCAGGTTCTCGAGTTTTTCTCCCTCTGCGAACCCTAACACGCTATATTCCAATTAAACCTGTGAGTTAGCAATGCCCTGATTTTGATCAGCCACGAGGTTGTTTCAGGGTTTCAATAGAATTTAAATATTTTGATTCAAAGGCCTTGCGTCGAAGAGCATTGAGTTGGGCCAAACACCGATTTGATGAAGAGACCCGGACGATCACATTTACAACAAACTTCAACACCTGGGTTCAAACCATTTACTCATACAGAGACTTAACTAACTCTACTTACATTTAATGCCGAGTCCAGGGATAGCACCCGAGATCCCAGAGGTGACAGAAAAATCTACCATTGCTACACTCCCCTTGATTCCCAAGGCAATGATAGAGATCTTTAGTATTAGTATGACTATTATCTTTCTAATTCTTCATTGTTATTAGTGAGAGTACAGCCATCCAGATTGCACCTAACCTCGTATCCCATCGCTGGATCATCCAAGCCAACGAATCAGTGACCCTACGTATTCGCTTTAAATCAGAGGAACTCGGTCAGTTCGATCAGACTCTGAATTTCGAAATCGTTGGCACGAGACGACGGTATCAGTTGTTCTGTCGTGGAGTGTGTGCTTTCCCTTCCATCAGCCGTGAACCACGCGTCGTCTTTCCTCATCGTAAAAAGTACCGCAAACCGGACGAAATCGTTCATAAGAAGTACATACTGAGTAGTGAGACTTTCGAGTTTGGTCCCCTATTGTGCGGCAAGACGAGAGACAGATATAGAGAGGAGAAGTACCCAGAAAATATTGAAAAGTTGACTGTAATGAATACCTCCCCACTTGATGCAGAGATAAGTTTCTGCTTCCAACAAGATAGTACCGCCACAACATTTTTAATGGAACCACCAACAATGAACCTGAAGCCGGGCCAGAGTGAGGAATTATTTATATGGGCGTACCCCAAGACGTCAGGGTACTTCGAGGATGCTGTGGTGTGCTGCATACGTGAGAATCCAGAGCCAGTAGTGTTCAAGATATCTTGTAATGGTGTTCGTCCTGAGCTGGAACTCGACAGGAAGCAGCTGCAGTTTGACCGTGTTCTCTTGCACAGGTAAGCTCAACGTTGAATTATTTCAGTTAATTTCAGTTGTTATGCATTGTTATTAAGACATATAAGAAAGAAACCATTTTTCGTCCTTATCCGATTCATCGCAGCTGGTTTTTATGGCCGCCATGTTAGCTGAATTTCAAAACAAAATATTTTCTTTGATTTCTTCTATTGTATCACCCAACATGGCGGCCACGTCTTATATTACCTCATGTTCAAAGGTATGATTGTAAACCACCTTGTTATTCTTTACATTACATACATTAGACTACTGTGCAAAACTTTCGTTTCGCTCTCTCAAATTTGCTCTCTCAAAACCACTTGTGCATGTGGTTTCTTAATCGACATTTGGAGATGACTGTGAACTGCTCAGGGCACAAACATAGACGAACACGGTCGCGCCAAAATCACTGCCGGACCAATCGCATTGCGCGAAAAAAACTTCAGCCAAAAACGTCAGCCAGAACACATCACGGCACGCTTACGGCACCGAGCTTTTCACAGTCATACGACAACTGCTCTAATGTTCAGTATTACGCATTCACCTTTAATGCTTTATATTCTGTTTTGAATCAGGAAAGACACACGCACGATCTTCCTGCGCAACAGTACTTTACTTCCAGTGGCCTGGCGCATCAATGGTCTGGATAACCTTGGAGATGACTTCTCTCTAACAACTGAACATGGCATCATCGAACCCAAGGCAGAGTATGCTCTACAGATGCACTTCAGGGCGATACGGCCCATTAATATCAAGAAGATCGTTCGTCTAGAGGTTTCTGACGTGGAACAGATAATGGGTCTTGTACAGGCGGAGAATATTCAGGTCCATGCTGAGGCGTATGATGTGGCGTTGGATATGAGCTTCCCTAAAGGTGAGAATTTCTTTCAAGACAATTATTATTATTCATAGAAGTAATTCATCACTCCATTTTATTTGTTTTCCACACATTTATGTCATCCATACATTCGTTTGATCATCAATAAACACATAAAGGAACTATAAACACATACATGTGTAAACGCACGGACGTGGTAATAGAGACTTTTAGCATCAGGCTTACCCCTAGGGATCAGGCCCAGAAACACGCCCGCAAACAAAGAGAAAGACACAGCATCAATGAAATTCAATATGGCGGCTCTTGCAGCAACAGCTTCGTTATGACGCCTTGCTAAATGTCGAAAGTGTGACGAAAAACGCCTAACAGCGAACTGCAGTTTGGGGTTTGTGGTACCTAGCAAGAACTTCGTCGTTTCACATCGCGTCAATTTATCTCATCCCATCCATTTACCTATACACTCAATCATCCATCCTTTCTCATAACTGTCAACACACACGTCTGCCGGTGTCGAAATAGATATAGCATATTATATGTAAACGGGAAAATTTATAGCCATTTTTTAACTGCTATTTGTCAGCATTATTATTAGCTGCACAGTTACAATGGGAAGCCATACCACTGCGGTACGTTCCTACCGCGTTGTAAGTTAGGTCTGTTAGTAGGTATAGCATAGGTTCTTAACTCATAGTAGGACTGCAGTTCGTATATTTGTCCAGCATCAACAACAACTGTTTATTTTTGTTTCAGGTGCCGATGGGGGTTTAGATTTCGGTGTTCTTAAAGTCATGGACGAAACCAAACAAACTTGCTCGCTGAAGAACAAAGGCAGATTTGAGATCAACTTTAACTTCGTGTTTGAGAGCATGGAAAACTGTCCAGCAAACGTGGAAGAATTGTTTACAGTGCTTCCCAACCGAGGACCTCTTCTCCCCACCGACCGCCCCACCCAGGTACAGGTCATATTTAGGYCCAAGAAAGAGGTTACCATCAAGGAACAACCTATACTCAAATGTCAGGTATGGAATCTTCCTAACTAACGTATTTTACTATAGCGCAACCTCCATATTACGGACACCTACGGGCAAGAATAAAGTGTCTATTATATAGAGGTGTCCTCAACATAGAAGTCGGGTATATAAAGTAAGTAATGTATGGTAATTTTGCCGCGACCTAAATATCTGTCCGTAATATAGAGGTGTCCGTAATATAAAGGCGTAACGAGTGGTTTCACTGTATTAGTACAAAAAGCCTGTGACAACTGGTCGTTAAGTAGAGGTTGGTCGCTTAATAAAGGTTCTTATATGTACTGTGTTTTGTTTTTACAGATAATAGAGCCGCACCTGGGCGAGGGAGGGGAAGTAATCGCCAGTATTCCTGTCAAGATCTCCGTTCGTTCCGTATACAGCAAGTACTCTATCGCACCAGTCAGTGACATCAACTTCGGAGCCATGCTGGTCAACACCAAGAAAAGCCTCTTATTTAGCATAGAAAACAAGGGTGAATTCGACTTCCGGTACTCAGTCCTCAAGATGATCAACACGCTCTCACAAGGTCGACAAAGACTGGGACCACCTGGAAAGAGAGTTAAATCACGTGATGGTTCTAGTTCTGGACGATCTCAAGAAAACAAGCCACCGAAGCCTAAACGAGCTGATTCAGTTAAAGGGTAAGACTAAGTCAACATCAGATTCCATAAGCAAATACATTTAAGGCCAGAACATACTGTGAAACTGTTGCGCGCAGCGTTGCAACCAGATTTTTGTTGTCACTCGTAGCAACTTTTCCTGCAGCAAAACTATAACTGTCCAAAATGTCATTGCAAGGTCATCGCAGTTCTCGCTTCGATGCATATGCACGGTTACCTTTCTAGTTGGCGCAGGGAACCGTGAAAGCAACTGTTCTGGCAGCAGTACTCAAGAATAAATAAATTTCTTTGGCCCAGAACATTACGCATCAACGTTACAGCTCGTGTCCACACGATGAAACCACTTGTTCGTAACAATGCGCGCCACACAGTGCTATAATGTGATTTCGTGTAACCTTGCGCGCATGGCAGCAGTTTCACAGTGTGTTCGAGCCTTTAGTTGTCACTAGATGCCACTCAAACTCACGTGACCAAGTAAGGCGGTCTACATAACTCAGGTTCATCAACCGTTGAGTCATTCCGCATTCCAAGAACCCCTCAGATTCATTTGTACTTTTGCTTATAGGGCTGATATATCTGCTGGTGCACCCAACATCCGTCTACAACTAGGCATGTTCACCTTGTACCCTGCAACAGGAACAGTACCAGCTGGAGGTACAGTGCAGATCTCTGTTGATATGGTCGCTGAATCACCAGGGTTTTCTGAAGAGGTAACTTTAGTAACCCTACTTTTATACTTTAAAAGTTTATCATTGGACTACTTAACTTGGGGCAGAATGTTTCTTTATTCACATCAAGGTAGCTTAAGAGTTAAAAAACCGGTAAAGAAAGAAGGACTACTCAAGGGAATGACTCATATTCTGAAGAAAAAGTAACGCCCATTCTTATTACGTTTGTCGCTCCTAATACATTAAAGAAAAATAGGGATAGCGATGTTAGTGTTTTTCGAGTTTATACAATTTCAGACCCGACATTTTTTTCTTGTGATTTGGCTTCGGTTTATTAAATTTATGACAGTCGGAGCTACTGATCTATTAATCGATGCAAGGCAAACCTCTGGCTTCTAGAAGTTGTCGAGGTCGAAGAAATTTGATAACTGCTGTAAATATTGAACACAAAACATTAACCCGAATATTCATCAACTCCTAAAGGCGCGATTACATGGAGCAATTTTCTCTGCGACTTGTCTCACAACGGCGTTGCGACACAAGTTGCATGGAGCATTGCAGCGTTTAACCTTATAGCGCAATTTGAAAAAAAGTTGGGAGACAAGTTGCAGTAGCTTTTGCGAAAAGTAGAATTCGTTTCTACTTTTGATAAAGATAAAAACTCTTGCATTGTGTTGCAGAGAAAATTGCAGAGAAAATTGCTCCGTGTAATCGCGCCTTACTCTTTATAAGATATCCTATTACTCTTCTATGGTGTATATCGTTGTTCAAGTATCATTCCCATTTCTTCCACAGGATATTGCCATTGACATCTCAGATCGTCCACCATACGACCATCCCCAGGGAATCCCTTACAGGCTGATTGGCGAGGCGTGTGTCCCGGGTATCTCTGTTATCAGTCCTTCAAACATTGGATCAATCTTTGAAGAACATCTGATCGTCAAACAGTTGAACTTGTTCCAGTACAATGCTCATGATATAACCAGTGGATCAGGAGTGTATGGAGAAGACGAGAACAAGTTTATCTTCTATAATACTATTGTTGGTAGAAAAGCCAAGGCTCGCTTCAAGATATCTAACACCAATAAGGTAATCATTCATTCTCTCATTAAATTGCCATTTTGTTTAAAGGACGTGTTTCTAAAGATTGCATGCGCACAAAAACTTTTTGGACCGAGTACCAAAAATAATACTTTAATTTTGTAAAACCGTTTATTTGTTAATGCTCCGATTTCCTTTTGTTTGTACACCGCTGTACTCTTTGACAAGAGCGGGTCTGCAGTCAAATATTACAGCAGGGCCCGGTTGTACGAAGCCTTGATAGCCCTATACGGCGGATAAATCCTTATCCAGTGAATAAGCCGATGTTGTCGTGCAATAAATTTATCCACTGGATAAGATTTATCCGTTGGATAGCGCTATCCAGGCTTCGTACAACCGGGCACAGATGAATAAAATAATTAGGGCGTTTCTTGCTCTTGGCTCACCCATGCGCGGAAAGGATGCGTAAGTCCTTAAGACAATTTCCATTGGATTGACTTTGTAATGGTCCCCATGCTTACTCCACCCTTCCCCTCCTGTCCCTTTCACATGAACCAGCTGTCAAATGATCATTTACTTGCAGGTTCCATGTGACCTAGTGCTGTCTGTCAAACCCATCTCCAACAAGCCGTCCAATCGCTGGCACGACGTGTATGAGATCGAGCCCCAGCGTGCCTCTATACCAGCCCATGGACACATCTACACCACAGTAACCTTCATCCCTCCTTCAATGCAGACCTACTTGGGGATATTAGAAGCTGCTGTGGATGGGATGCCGAGTGTTGTATCCAAGTATCGTAATCTTACCTTTGAAATTCAGGGTATGAATGGAGTTTATTGACTTTATCATGTTCCTCGTTTTAGGCTTGAAAAACTTACTTACTTTCCTCAAGCCTTCTACTTCATGTTCATGAAAAGTCCCATATTATAGCTGCAAAGAATGGCTGAAATTCAGCTTCCGCTTGCTTTTATGGTTATGATATCTGGAACAACTCCAATTGTCTTAATCGGGCTTACGTTAATCAAATTAATAACTACTTCGACCGTTGAAAACACCTTGATTGGCGGAAACCAAAAAGCCCAAACGTTCGGTGCTGCGGGCAGTTGTTTCGATCGCGTATTTTTTTAAATGTCTTTTAAAAGGTTCATTTAACTATTTGTTTAATGATATTTCAATTTTGTCTTTTACAAATTGATGTCATGGCTCTCAGTATTCATATAAGCGGTGTAAATCTCTGTTAATTCTTTGCACTCTCAGCAACTTAGCAGCGTTGCACATTTAATCCAGTATCTTAAATCTGAAATTAAAAGGTGTTTTCTTTATTTCAGGCGAAGGAAATCTTCCACGAATAACCATCAAGAAGCCCACAGCACGTAATAAGAAAGGTTCCTCTGTTCTTCTCTTCAAAAGACTTCTCCTTGGAAGAACCCAGGTCATGTCTCTGGTCCTAGAAAACGAGGGTACCTTATTGTCACGTGTAACCTTGAACCTCAAGGACCCTAATGGGGTCTATAACATCACCTGCGCAGAAGGCACCAAGGCGTTAATGCCTCTAGAGCCTAACGAGGATACTGCAACATCAAGCAAAAACCGCAGTCTTTCTGTCGTTGTTCCTATGGGGACAAAAGCAGAGTTCCTTGTAGAATTCACCCCCAATTCCAACGGGAGGCTCGTTGGAGAGATAAAGTTGGCTGTTATCGATAATCCTTATGAGGAGAGCTCTATACAGCTGACTGGAGAGGGGTACGAAGATGATTTTACCATTGATAACATTCGTTCTGCTCGTGAGATTGAAGATGAAGCTTCAAGTATTATTGAGATTGCGGAAAATGCATCTGGTAAGATATAATATCTGTAGGGATATGCTACTTGTTTTACTACCATTCTGTTTTTAAACGCAAATCCTACACTTTATCAAACCCTGAAAAAATCTTTTTGCTGATAAGAGGTCGGCTGTCTCACAGATCGGAATGGAACTGAGAGTATTGCGTTTTTCGACAGAAGAAAAAGGGAGAACCCGGAGCAAAACCCTCGAAAAAAACCCAGCAAACTATATGATGTCAAGTCAAAAAATCGAACCGGAGACCCCCAAAAGAGAGCTGAGTGCTCTACCACTACATCACCCTTTAGTCTTATCAACATCAATCATGTTTCTTTCTCTTTATTTCAGCTTCACGAGAGAACCACATCAAGTTCAACGACTGTCCAGTGGGTGTACCCAAACAGCTGTCATTCACCCTCACTAACCACTCCACCACAGATCCTGTACGCTTTACCTGGAATCCACCTCCAGAGATCACATTCTCTCCCTGTACTGGACATCTACTCCCTGGCTGTGCTAAAGACATTAATATCACTTTGACTTCACCAAAACCAAAGGCCTTCAAGACACAGAATATTCCTTGTAAAGTGACCAAGATAAAGCTGGGAGAATCACAGGATAAGGTAATGAAAAATATATAATGGCATGGTAATTTCACGCTCTATGATTGGTCCATAAATAAGGGTACGGACCTTGCACTTTGTTGGRCTACTTCGACGATACGACTGTCATCTTTGATCGCAAAATATAATGGGGCGACCAGGGGCGAAATAACGCTTTGCAACAGTATTGAAATCGATTGATATTAACTGCCCACCACAAGTTAGTACAACAAATGATGAGTTAAGACGGCACATCGATCATAAAATAAAGACAATTCACCCCAAACTCTACATATTTTGCGTCGTATTTGTTTTGTTATGGTCCCTGGCAAGATGACCGCCGTATCGTTGAATAGGTCGATTGTTTGATGAATTGTGATGGATAGAGGAACGGATGGCAACAGATGAGAACACTGCGTTTTACCTTGTGCAAACAAGGGATCTTCATTCCAGATATGGTTGTGATTTGAGGACAACAAAAAATCATAATACCTCTTGTGCAACTAATCAGTCACCACACAACTAACCAAGACACCCTTGTTTCTCAAATTAATAAAAAAACTGATTGTGACGTTTTATATTCCAGCCAATGGACTGGGATGACAGGATGCGTGTTGTCAAGTGGATTGACCTGACACCTGAAGAAGCAGCTGGTAAACCTGATGATGATATACCAGGAAGTGGACAAAGGGCACAGAAACCTGGCAAGAAGAAAGTGATTGAGGTTGAGCCTGAGCCGCCATTTACCCCAATAGAGAACAGCACGCGTGATCTGGAACTGCTTGTTAGTGGTTTGTGTGACTATTCCAAGATGAGGTGTAAAATCGAAAGTATCCACTTCAAAGACACGCTCATGTTTCAGACTAGAGTATTCAGGTATTGATGACACTGGCACCTGTAGAAGTGAAATATATGGTCTCTTTTTTGTATTCCATCCATCCATCCATCCATCCA